ATAATATTTAATATTTCAAAAGATAATCCGCAACATTTATGTTTTCATAATGATGTAACTTTAACCTGCGAGCAGGACGTCATCATCTTCATCATCTTCATCATCTTCATCGTCATCATCGTCCTCCTCCTCCTCCTCCTCACCAGCTAAAGACTCTGACATGATCTCGTCTTCGTCTTTTTCAGTGTAAACAAATTTAACTTCCTCTTGATCGAGGCTGAACTCAAGCGAGCTGGAATCAATATCTTCATCGTCGTCATCGTCGTCTTCATCACTTGTGTCATAGGTGATGTCATCGCTGTAGACAGTCTCTCCAACAGACCCTTCATCTGTTCCCAGAGCATCATCATCATCATCACCTAGGACTCCACTGTCTGTGCTCTCGAAGGGAGCGACGTCAACTTCCTCCTCAACTTTATCGTCTTCATCGTCTTCATCATCATCATCATCATCATCATCGTCTTCAGCGTCGAGGTCAACGCGGACATCTTTATCAAAGTCGATGTCAAGGTCATCGTCTCTGAGGTCACTGTCTTCATTGTCATCTTCATCATCTGCAAAGTGCTCAGAGGAGGCAACAGAGACGTCCTCCAGATCTTCATCATCATCCTCGTCATCATCACTGTCCTTCAGGTCTCCATAGTCTTCTTCAAGAGCGGCCAGAAGAAGAAGATCTTCCTCCTCTGGGAATTTGAGTTCCTCAATTTCATCATCTTCCTCATCCTCACCTACTGTGACGACAGGAGGAAGATCAAGCTTCAGGTCGTCTTCATCGCTGTCAGATGTCGCGACACCCTCAGCAAGTTTGTCATCTTCATCATCGTCATCGTCGCCATCCTCCTCTGCCTCCTCTTCACTGGAGAGAAGTGCAGATTCACTGAGGTCTGAGCTGTCGGAGAAGGCATCATCTTCATCATCTTCATCATCTTTGTCGTCTTCATCATCTTCATCAACTTTATCATCTTTGTCGTCTTCGTCATCTTCGTCGTCTTCATCATCTTTGTCTTCTTCATCTTCTTTATCAGCGTCATCAGGCAGAGTCACATCTTCATCGCTGACTTTGACGTCAACAGGTGCGTCAGACTCAGAGTCGGGAGACACGCCCGACTCTTCATCCTCAGAAGTGGAACTAGGTTCAGGAGAATCTTCATCATCATCATCCTCAGCATCAGCAGCTACAGACTCCTCTTCATCATCTTCATCAGCAGCATCTGTCTTCTCTTCCTCTACCTCATCATCTTCATCTTCTTTGTCCTCCTCTTCTTCTGCAGCCTCCTCTTTGGATTCACCTTCATCATCTTCATCAGTGTCTGCCGCAGCTGCTTCAGGTTCCTTCTCATCTTCATCATCATCTTCATCATCTTGCTCCACCTCAGCAGCTACTCCGTCCTCCTCTTCCTCGGCCACATCCTCCTCTTCATCCACAGCTGCTTCATCTTTCTTCTCCTCCTCTTTTTCTTCCTCATCAGGTCCTTCTTCCTCCTCCTCCTCCTCCTTGTCCTCTTCCACCTCCTCGTCCTCGTCCTCCTCGTCCTCGTCCTCCTCCTCCACCTTATCCTCCACTTCCTTTCCCTCCTCTTCATCTTCTTCTTCCTCCTCCTCCTCTTCCTCCACCTCTGCCACAGCTTCTTCTCCCTCTTCTTCATCGTCTTCAACTCCCTCTGCCTCCTCCACCTCCACCCCAGCCTCCCCCTCTCCTTCAGCTTCCTCCTCCTCGTAATCTTCCTCCTCCTCATATTCTTCCTCCTCCTCATACTCTTCCTCATCCTCATATTCTTCATCCTCATAATACTCATCCTCATATTCTTCATCCTCATAATACTCTTCATACTCCTCTTCCTCATCTAGTTGTTCCCCCTCTTCTGCATCTCCTTCATCCTGCTCCTCCTCCTCCTCCTCCTCCTCAGCAGCCTCCTCTTCGTCTCCCTCCTCCTCATCTCCCTCCTCCTCTTCCTCTACAGCTTCAACCACTGGTGGTTTCGTCTTTGCTTGCATCCCTACAACTGCAAAATAAAACCTGTTAATGATTCATTGTAATGAATCAACAAAATGAACAAAGTTTTCACGTCCACAATAAAAAGGTTTTAACACGTTTCAATGCTATTAAAAGAAAATTAACTGTCAATAAAACTATTCCAGTCATGAACTGACTTTAATCAATCAAAGTAAAAAGTTACTGACCTTTACTTCGAGACGGTAGAAATTCTCCTGGGATTTAAAAAAATAAAAGTACAATCAGCAACTTGACGAAACAAAGATACTGAATGAAACATGTTGTGATTGTTATATTATAATATTGCAAGAGATTAGTGGCAGCAGTTAGCAAAGAACGTGAGTGAGGATTAGGGCCATGTTAAAGGAAATTAAGATTTCAAGAATACAGAAGAATGTAAAGAATTTAATGTTACAAGAATAAAGTCGTATTTTAATGAGAGAGAAAAACGATAATATTACAAGAACTAAGTTGTAATTTAACGAGAATTAAATCACAATTTAATGAAAATAAAATCATTTGAGAATAAAGTCGACAGTCGATATTTCGAGAAAAAGAAGAAACTATTTAGGATTCAATCTGTTGAATCCCGACTTTATTCCATGAGATTTTTTTTCCCCCCTCGTTAAATTGCACAAATCCTCTGTGGTAAGAAACTGACTGTTCTCACGAGAACAGTAAAGTTCTCTCAGGGAAACCACACGTCAGGTTTCACTGTTGGGTCCTGTTGCCTTCATTAGTGTTGCTGTTACAGGGAGATGAATAGAACTCGTCAGTTGTTATCTAGAGTTAAACTACACATTCTCAGAAACACAGTAACTGGAGAATACCTTTTCTTTTCTTCACCTCCTCCTCCTCCTCCTCCTCATCCTCCTCCTCCTCCAACCATCTTGAATCTTTGAGATGGTTTATACATAAAGTCAGTTAAAAACTAACACCACAATAATAATAATGATAATAATCATCTGACCATGTTTTGTCTCACTGATCCACGTGTGTGTGTTTCTAGTCCATCACACGCTCTGTGCAAAGAAATCTTAAAACCAGGTCTGTGAAGCGTCTTCATCCATCTTAGTTTTCAGTTCATTGACTGAAAATCCTTCTCCTCACATATTAAAGTTATTTTTTTAAGTCTCGTCAGGAGAGTTTTGTTTCAGTTTGAGTTGCTGTTCTTTGTGATAAACTGCATTAGTAAGATAAGCCTCATCAGAGCCTCCTGGACGTAAAGATTATATTAAAATGTAAATAAAGATGGACGACAGCTCCAACAAGTGAAGCCAAAGAGCCTCCATCGCCCCCTGGTGGCTGGCTGCAGTACAGTGGGATAGTGGGAGGAAGTGCACATGCCTCGTCCATCTTTATTTACAGTCAGTGGTTGTACACAACATGTAAAATATATATAAATGTAATAAAGCACAGTCAAAAAGCAGCAAGAGCCCGTTTCTCATTCAGCAACTGTAAAAATAAAAGCTGCAGCGGTACAAACCTTTTTTTCTCACGGCGTAGAGATTTGCTAGAGGAGAGCAGAGGGAACAGTGAGATCAGATCAACTGTGAACAAGTTTATTTAAAATAAATAATTTCACACACACACACACACACACACACACACACACAGAGCTCCGTACCTTCATCTTCTTCTGGAGCGACCAGGTTGGCGGCAAATTTGAACATCAAACTGATCAGGTTTGATGATTCCTCCACCGCATCGTTCACCACCTTCATGGGGTCTGAGCCGATCTTAGTGAGGCCTCCTGGTGGAGCAGCGACATGAACACACACACACACACACACACACACACACTGGTTAATTCAATCACTGCTTCTGTTCGATTGAAGCTGATCGTTCTCAATCAAACCCAACAAATAAAACATCAGTGAGAGCGTCTCACGTTTCCTCACTGCGGACGAAGCTCTCGTTCGTCTGCAGTGAGGAAACAAAACATCCACTTTAAAGCAAAAAGGTTAAACTGAGGTGGGACCACGCAACCGAAACCAAAACAAACGGGGATTTCAGGAATCGATCAGTGTCACATTAGGAGTAACCCACCGGCCAGTTTAACCACTGCAGGAGAACTTCAGTTTAGCAGATTGCTCAGCAGGTAGCACATGAAAAAAAACCACACTGACCCTCCTCCGTCGAGGTGCACGTGTTCTTATCTGCTTTTAAATTGTAGAAGCCGTCGTTTCATCAGTCACAGTCTGGTGACGGGGACCAGTGTTCCCAGCATTCCAAGTGTTTGTCAGTGTTTTCTAACAGATCTTGTGATTTTAAATGTGGTTTTACAGGCTGGGGCTGTGCGTGACTCTACTGAGTCTCATTCTAGTTTCAACTAAAGTTTGATAACGACATCTAAAGGATCACTGATGTATCAGCATTTCTGTTTTTTACTCCTTAACATCAGGATCATCATCTGCTTCCAAATATCCAAGTTGGGCTCTTGTGGTGTTTTCTGTGTTTTAGTCAAACACGATTAAATGTTTTATTTTCATTCTCTTTAAACATTTAATCAACCAGCTTCACATAAACAGGCAAAAGAAACACTGGGGGGGGAAAAACACAACAGAGAGATGAAGCTGAAAATGTCAAACATGAAGCTTGGTTTGTCTGTTTTCAGATTTTTCTTTTCAGTTATTTGAAACTGAGTTTTCTTCTTCTTCACAAATACGCAGGAGGCTTGAACGACTAAGAAACGAACAAGCTCACGTTAAAACTACACCCGACATCTTATTACAGTACATCGTGAAACAGACAGGAAGCAGCATCCTTCTGAATGTCTGCAGCTCATTATCAGTTAATGCCGTTAGTGGTAAATCAGCAGCTTCTGCTCTGAGGAGTTAGTAGCACATGAGGTTTCTTGCCTCTACGCTCTGAATCCTTAAAAACCTTCCTGACGCCAGGAGGCGGGCGACCTGGTTGGATGAGAGACACAGTCGCAATAAGCAAAGACATGAAAGAGGTGAAGCACAAAGAGGAGGAAGATGAGGCGTTTCTCTGACGATGACGCAGACAGATGATGGGTTTGAATTAACGCTGTGACGATAAGAACATTTACTTTTCTCTTAAATCGACGCAGACGGTGATTTGTCATCATGTCGTTACTTCCGTCCTCTTATTCCAGATGAAATCGGGAATGAGGAGAATATTTCGCAGCTCTCTCCAGGAATAAAGTGTCCAACACGTTTGTTCTTGTTGCCGTGATGTTCAGGTTTGTGTGAATCGAGTGAAGAGTTAGAAAACAGACGCTTGTTTTGATGTTGGGAGGAGAAATGGCGATGACACAGTTTCACGAGAAAACATATGAACGAGTTATATTAGTAGAATTCGTGGTTGTTAGAAACCTGGAGAGCAAATAGTTCAAGGAAAAAAGTCCGAAGAGAAAGATAAAACAATAAAACAACATTCATGATGAAACACATTTGTAATGGGTGGTCACGTCGCACCTTTCGTGTTTTTATTGTTTTGCTCTATTTCATTTTTCTGTCTTTGTGAAGCACTTATTCAGTTTGTCTTGAGAAGTGATTTATAAATTCAATTATTTTATTTAACAGGAGACAGATCACACTGTGGGACTTCTCCTGAGGAGCAGCGCCCTCTGCAGGCACACGTGGAGATCTCTGACTGCGTCGTCTCACTCGCTGAACTGAAATATTACCCACGATCCTCTGCTTTCTGAACCAGAAGAGCAGCCGCTGTAACAAACGCACCAAACTCTGTTCAGAGTTCTTCATGTTTTTAAAGTTTCCCGCTGAACGTTGGAGATAAACTCTGGTTCTTAAAGACTTCTCAGTGTTTTGAAACTGATCACAGGTCAGCTTCGCTCTTCAACTGTCGGGAGCCGATTGTGACAGTTGAAGCTGGAGATCGAACCCAGTCAGCAGAGTTACAGAGAACAGACGCTCGGAGAGTGAAGGAGGAAAGTCTCTCCACGTTCACACTCACACATCAAACTCTTTTTATCAAGCTGCTGGTTTGAGGTGAAAAAGTTGCATCGTGTTGCTTCAAGAATCCTGCTCGTCACAGATCAACTTAAATGCACCTGGATGCCACACAGGTGTGTTTGGTTCTCAGAGCAACGTGCCGACACTCAGACAGAAATCAAACCAGTTACCAGTTTTAATGTTGTGGCTTCACAACACGTAGATTTACCCTCTCGCTCCTCTACAGCGTCTGACTCCTGTGAACCTGAGAACGGAGCAGCGCTTCATACCTGAGAGAGTCTTGTAGTCCATCAGGTCGAACACGATGACAAACACGCAGGACCACGTGATGACGAGGGCCAGGACTAAGATCCAGGCCAGCGGGGAGCTGAACGTAGAGTGCACGTCCTCTGTGAACGTTTTCTTTGGGGTCCGTTGAGACGACGAGCCGGCGTCTCCGCTCTTACTGTCGATGACCATGGTGGTGGTGGTGGACGACCGCGCTGAGGAGGGAAGCATAAGAGACAGTGGTCAGATACAGAGATCATCTTGATCGCCCCCTGGTGGCTGGCTGCAGTGTAGGCCATACACTCTGCCTCCTCCGTGGATGGGACGTGGGCCTCAGTGAAAAGTCAAAGTGCGCGTTGAAGAAACTTTCTCGAAGATGGTTTCTGTCGTTTTCTCTCGTTCGTATCACGCTGATGTTTTTTTTAAAACATGGTGAAACATGGTGACTGGCAGCTGAGACTGACTCAGGATTGGTCGAGCCCATGTGTCAGTGGGACGTTGCCGGTTTATCAGGTACATCTAGTATTAGTTTTGCTACTGAGGTGAGAATACAGCAGATAGACTGTGATTCTCTCGATGAAGTGGACTCGTCACACTGAGAAAAAACAACCGTCTTTGTGTTTGCACTTTGTTCAGCTTCTGAAACTTCTGCAGCAAAACCCTGAGACCAGACGTGAGAATCACACACGGAATCCAGTGAACCCTTTTCAGACAAACTCTCCTTCCCCCTCCGATCCGATGCCTCTGTCCAACGCCACTTCCCAAACCCAACTGTAAACGGTTTGACCGACCATCCGTGCACAACTCCTCCTTTTATGGCGGGAAAAACGCTTCTGTTGTTGCTCTGTCTCCATGACGGCTCGGCTCAGAGCGGCCAGACGGAGCTTTACTGTATCTATTCAGTCAGAACACAGGGAGGAGGCGTCATGGCGTTTCCTTAATCAGTCAGTTCAACACGCTGCTGCCAATAATCACGTGATTGAACCTGATGATTTCACGTCTCTACCTCAGTCTTAAACATCTGCTGAGGACAAATGAGCTTCAGGTCTACAAATAAGCAGGCGTCACATTTTAAATACTTAAAGAAAGAAACAAATCACAGCACTTTGTAAATATAAACCCGTGGAACTAGAATGGTTCTGAATTAGTTTGTTTTCGTGGAATGTTTCTAACTAACAGACAAACTCCACAGTTTAATTATGAACCACTGACTTTTTTCACACTTTTCATCGTAACCTCACAGATCTACAACTTGCTGCTCTATTTGCTTTCTGTTCACTCTCTCTGTTGCATTACCACGATTTTTTGATTTCTCACAGTTTCAGCTGCAGCATCTCTGGCAGAGCTGCGGTGGTTTCTCTCTCTCAGTTCTTTCACTCTTTGTACCTGTCGCACGTGAGGGTGCAGCTTCCGGCGCACGAAGCCTCGTTACCGCTGTAGACTGAATTAGTTCTGAGGCAAACGCTGAAACACCAAAGACAACACCAGACGATTGTCTTTTTTTTTTTTGTCTCTGTGTCTTTTTAACAGTGAAAAATTTATATTTGCTCTGATTTATGTTTTCACTGAATAAATGTGTCATTAGTTCATTTGCTGCCAGAAACTACAGGAGATGCTCTTTAGTAAAATCAAAAGCTTTTTGAATGGAAAACAAGTGAAGCATCAAAATTCTGTTCTCATCTTAAAATCTTATCTTGTGTCTAAGCTTCCACAGCTTCACAGTTTGAAGTGAAACAGCAAAAGTAAATTAGAACGTTTCGCCACCATCGTTGAGAAATAACTGTTGGATATCCTAAAATAACGATATAAGTGCATTGTTGTTTTGAGAGCTTTCAACCAAATGCTTCAGTCTTCATCAGAGAATCTTCAACTCTCTCTGCAGAGTCCAACATAGTTTTTTAACCCTGATACTATTTGTATTATTGTCTTAAGAAATCCATATTTGCTCCAGACAAATGAATAGTTATCCCATAATTCAGGGGCCGGCACATTCATCCCGGTGTTTTCAGTTAATCTGGTTGTTTAGATCGAGTTTAAGAAATCAAACATTTACCTTTGAGAGTTTAATGCTTTCAGTGACATGTGAAACTCTCTTCCGTGACGTTTTTCCTCTCATTTAATTTCCCTTGTATAAAAATCAGAATCAGTCGATATAAAAGCTGCACCAGCACAGTGTTGATGCTGACTGATCCCATTCAGCTCTGGAGACGTCACCACGCCTCAAAGCTGAATTTCAAACAGCAGATACATGATAGCAGCATATTTTTAGATTCTTCCAATCGGGAAATTCTCCCACACACACCAGACCGCACAACATCACAGTGTGTGTGTGTGCAAAACAAAACACACACACATCAAACATCATGGTGAGGCTTCTTTGACATTAATGTGACGATACTTTACCTTCAACTGCTTCAGTCATACTGCAGTGTCAAAGTAAGACGTCTATTCCAGCAGTAAATCCTCTGCGCACATTAAGTTGCCATGAAAACAAACGTTTGCCGCAGATCCTCGACTCCCGTGTGCGATTTAATCCCAGTCTTTAATTCCAATCCAGCAGCGTCACGTGAAAGGCTGGAGCCCCAACCCCTCAGGCCACGACCGGTAACTCTACACCTCTTTTTCCATTCGCCGCAATTAACTCTGCACTTTTCCTTTTCCCCTCCAGAAGTCAAAGAAGACCTCGATGGGTCCAGATGACTGAGCTGGTCCAGATGAGTGACGTCCCAAGGGGATGAGGCCGGAGAGTGGGACAGAGACCCGGTTGAGGTGGTCACTGTCTTTGCCCTTTGCCTGGTTGGGGCTTGGGTTGTAGCTCGAGCTGCCCCCCTCCCCTCCACTGCTCCAGCTCTGACAGATTTAGATCGACCACGGGGACTAATGGACGATGAAGAGAGAACTGGGAGAACGAGCTTCACGGTAACTTTATCCCACCGGCCACTGTTGCTGCTGGAGTCACGTGAATATAACGTGTGTGATGGTTCCACACGACTTAGAGCTATAAACAATCAGACGTCACACTCCAGAATCCCTCTTTATCTGATTTGGTCAAAAACTTCTCATCACCTACAGTAAAAAAAAGTCCCTGTTACATTCAGGCTGTGTCTCTGAGCCTCAGGCCCGGAGTTATTCTTAGAGCAGATCGCTGCTGTTGGTATTCTGCTTTGCCTTTTTAGGCCAGAGGCGTGACCTTAACACCCCCGGCCCACCGCCACCCAGCCCCCATGTTAACTAATCCCCCTTCTCCAGACCTCCAGCTCAGAGTAGAGCTGTCATCAGGCCTGCAGAGAGGGAGGGGGGGGGGGAATGTTGGTGTGCTCCAAGTTAAAATTTGTGGCGATGTCATGGCGCTAAAAAAACTTTGCAGAGAAGGAGATAGTATCTCGATGCTCCTTAAAATGTGGATATGAGCCCTCGAGCCCATAAAGTTTGAAATGAAGACGTGTTCTGTGAGGTATCGTCCTCCAGCGTGAGTCCGACATGTTCCATAAAATAAAATTTTAAATCAAAAGGCACAATGTAAAACAATTAGTTCAGCAGAAAATTCGAAGAGCGGAATTTTAGAGATAAAGTGATCAAAATATGTCAAAGATAAAATCTGTATAATGTTTTTCAAAACGTTACTGGAGTAAAATAACAAATTAAATTGATTGGCAGAAGTATGAGCTCTACTAAATATTCAAATATGGAATCTTTATCTACGTGAGCAGATAATTAGAGAGTCATCAGAATACATGACGTCTGTTCATCCTGAACCTTCTGATGAAAACCAACTTTTAGAGAGACATCGTGCACGTTGTATAAATGTAACCTGTTAATCTACAGCTGACTTTCTGTCACGACTTCAATCCTCCCAGTTTGTCGTCAGAAACCTTCTGGTGTCGGTGCYGCCACTTTTCTTCACTTTTCTGTAAATTCACTTCAACAACATTGAAACAGAGGAAACAGGAAAGTTTTTTACGAGGCTTTTATTGATTCACTTTCAAATGGAACTCTAAGTTTACAGAGACAAGCTAAGACAACATGATGATAACATGAACGTGATCTAAATATTTTAAGCAGTGTTGAGCAGCAAAAGTCATTATTCGATAGAAACGTGAGTCTTCATTGGAAACACATAAGATTCCAGTCAAGACAAATTCAAACACGACAGAAAAACATTTCTCAAAAGCATAAACTACTGCTGACATCAAGTGACTCTGAAATTAAAAAGTCAATCTTAACATCTGTGTTACAACTATATGACAACTGCACATTGAAATTACTTTTTACGTTTATCTCGATGTGTTAGTGTTTCATTTCTCTCCCTCTTTGTCTGTCAACTTGATTTGAAGCTAATATTTTTAAGCTGCTCACTTTTCATCTTACAGTCACTTTTCACTTTTGACTTCCCATCAGCCACCACCTCTTTCCCAGATATGATAGCTGTGATATAATTACTGTATTTGTAAAGCGCTTATCTAAACAAAGGTAGAGTAAAACTCTTCAGCCCAGAATCCTTCAATATTAGTTACACATGCATTGGCACTTTCTGATTTTAGGACTATGTAATGTTGATAAAGTGATTTAATTAGATTTAAGTTTCCTTCATTTGCTTTCTGTTTTCTCACGTTCACTGTCCTCCATCATGTTATTTCAGGAGMAAAATGAGCATCAGAATAATCAGACAAACCACAACAACAAAAACCAACAGGCTGAGCCAGAACCTGAGATGATTGTTCTCCCGGTCTGAAAGAAAGAAGAAAAACACATCGATGACTCATCAGGTGTAATGCACAAGGTGAACAATAATAAAATGACTTATCTTACATACTAGAATATTACAACCAGTGAAAATCCTTTAATGTAATTGTAGAGATTCCTGACGGACGACATCATGATCGTTGCGGGCCACATGAACCACCGTGCCAGTGCCAGGTAGCAACGCTGTGCCAGGTAGCAAAGCCTCGCCGGTGCCCGGATGCAAACCCAAAACAGGGGCAGAATCATGTCTGAGGGACAGGAGAAGATGGGGGATGTCTCTGAATAGTGGACGATGAGGGAGTTAACTTTTTCTCAATGTCACGACGAGCAATGGGTCCAGTTTGAAACACTAGATGGCGCCCTGAGCCATACTCAACCCATATATAAAGACTCTTTGTGGTAATTGGATATTAAAACCCCCATAAGAACAGTCATATAATCTAGTTGCTTAAAAACATCTTCTAAAATTCTGTTAATTTGAGAAACACTACAGTCGGTATTAAAAGACACTTTAAAGAAATCTGAAGTTCATAATTCAAGTCACACTTACATCGGTGGATGGACCACGATTCCTGCAAGTGAGAAAACAAGAGAAAGACATGATGATAATCCAACAGCATCGGGAGCAGTCAACAGGAACAGTAATATATCAGTAAATCACCTGTTGAAGTCCAAGA